TCATTATGAATTGCTCCACACCCTCTTCCTAGAAATGAGGACATTTTGGACGCTCTTTCTGGAAGTAAGTGGTTTTAGACGTCTGACTTAACGAGTGGATGTTGGCGGGTAGAGATACATCCTCAAAATGAAGAAAATACCGCTTTTAGCACCGAACCAAGGACTTTGGCAGATGAAGGTGATGCCGTTTGAATTTAGTAATGCGCTGGCAACATTCGAACGCCTCATGAAGACCGCGTTGAGAGATATTTCTAACAAAGCCTGTCCTGATATGCATAGATGACATCATAATCATCGTCGGGAAGGCTTCTGAAGAACATTTGGAAAATATTAGGAAGTACTTCAGAAATTGAAAGAAGCAAATCCAAAATTAAGCCCCTCCAAATGTAAATTGGTCATGCAGGAAGTGATTTACTTGGACATGCTATCTTTGCCGAAGGTGTGTGTACGGATCCAGAAAACATGTTGGAAATGAAAGATTTGAGACACTCCGAAAGTATCTATCTGCGAAGAAGTTTCCTGGGACTCTGAACCGACTGTAGGACACCTGTGTAGGACCTTTCTTCCTTCATAAGACTTTTCACATATTGACAGAGAGAAAACAGAAGTTCTTGTGGACAAACGAATGTGAGGATACACTTAACAAACTGAAGAAGGCTTTTACATCTGCGACAATCCTGACGTATCCTCAGCTCGGTAAACCATTTATTCTCGATACGGATGCGAATAATGAGAGTGTCGGTACTGCTTTTTCCCAAGAAATAAACGCTCAAGAACGCATCGTAGCATATTGGAGCTAGTGGCTATCTACACGGGAGAGCAATTGCTGTGTCACCAGAAAAGAGTTGCTCGCCATAGTTAAAGCCGTAGAACATTTCTATAATTACCCCCCCCAGCAGAAATTTCCTGCTGCGTACAGATCATGCATCTTTGACCTAGATATTAAATTTCAAGAATCCCGAAGGCTAAATAGCCAGATGGATACAGAGACACCAAGACTAGAACATAACTATCCAATAATCGGAAGGGATCATCACATGGAAACGCCGACGCCCTGTCTACAAACCTGCCGATATTGCTTCAGGGTCGAAAAGTAATACGACCTATTTAATTCAGTCCCACATCAAGTTACGAATCATCGTTTGATCCAGACCCATGGAGTGAAGAAGTCAGGAAAGACCAGCTTGAAAGATGAGAACATTAAACCCATAATATTAACTCATAATATATATTAACCCATAATTTAATTATATTTAATGGAATCTTGAGAGAGGAAACCTACCTGGCAGGACATTTCGATCTATAGTCCTATGACAAAACAATATTGGGCTCTCAGGGATTTACTCTATATGTGAAATGGCGTCTTTTACCGGATGTTGGAATCGGATGACGAAAAGGCATTCTGATAGCAGCTGATACTTCCAAGATTCCGGATCCCGGACGTCCTTAAAGAATTATATAGCAGTTCAACAGGTGGCCACTTCGGAATAGTGAAGACGCTGAATAGAGTTCGAGAACGTTTCCACTGGAGTAATACAAAAGCTAACGTGTAATCTTGGGCCAATCTTGCGATGCCTGTGCCGGCCTGTAAGGTCCAAAGAAACGCAGCTGAGGGAAACTGCAACGTTACAATGTAGGAGCGGTTTTTGTATGCATCGCCGTTGACATCATGGAACCTTTGCCACGAAGTGCCGTCCTTGGGAAGGGGACAAGGTTACGAACTTTGTAGATGTAAATAGATAATTTGAATGAAATGGTATGTGAAATTGTTGTACTTTTTTTCTGTATAATGGCTCATGAAAATCTAAAGAAACGATGTTCTATCGAAAAAATAAGAATAATGGGGAAACTCTACTTAACTTCTAGTAAATGGCTATTTCTCTGAATTGGTGAGATATTCGCCAACTTGGCGACGGTTTTGGCGCTAAATTTTTGTCGCAAAGTTTGGCCGGAAATCACCAAAAGCCGCCAAACTTGCGATATTTTGGTCTGGTCCCTGTATAATTGTAATGGGTATTGTAACTGAATAACTGTAGTTGATCTTCTGTGCAGCTGTAACCGTTTCCGGTTCTCAAATGCCTTGCAGTAATTTTGAGATGTACTCGAAATTTCTCGACGGCCGGGAGAAAACTATATAAAAACCAAGAGAGCATCAGTTTCTGAGTTGTTAGTACAGAGCGACTTCGGAATATCGAGGTATCAGCGAAAGCTTCGCCTTTTGGATGTTCCTTGCATTTCATTGTGTTTAACGTTCTCAGTTGTTTAAAGTGTAACTACGGACTGTACTCCGTGAAACTGTGTCCGAGTATTTCTGTGGAAAGTTCTAGAACTTAGAAAAGCTTCTTTTGATAAAATAAATTTTATCAATCTGTCATCGGACCTGTGCGCATTCAATCTAATACGAACCCGTATGCACGCAATAAGTTCTTGGTTTATTGGTGGTTCCAATATTAATGCTATTCGACCACTGTGTTTCGATAATTTACTACTTCTGTCAGCCGCGCTATTTGGAATATTTGAGAAGAAGCACGAAGTAAAGTGTTCGATAAAATTCAATTTCTATAAATTTTCGATATAATTACTTAATTAAAGCTGTGGCAACAGAATAAATTTTCTAAAAGATGGGATGATAAATCGAGAATTGGAAAAATTAGAAAAAAACAAAGAAACTATTTTAGAACATTGTAAAACATAATATTTTAGACTGAGATTTGATGTTTTTTCCTGATTCATATTTAGGTTGGTCTTATGCAAAAGCTGAGGAAGATGAGAAGCAAAAATGTGGGTTATATATTCTGAAGCAAATTTCGAAGGGTTTCAGAAAAATTATCATATCAGTTTCTTTGGGATATAAACAATCACAGTAATGTTCAAAGCAAATATTTTTCTCAATCATTAAACTAAACATAAAAAATGCCGCTTACGTAAATTCAGCTATTTAAATCAATAAGACATTTCAGGTCGAGTGCAATGACAAATTTTCATTGAACTAAATACGAAGGGCTGAAAAAATGCTTTACTGTTATTAAAACATAATAGATTTTGAATTGCGAAGTTCACCAAGTTGTGCTTTAAGACGAAGAAGACGAAAGAAAAGGCAAACAAGTACCATATATTTTCGAGTATAAGCCGATTCGTAAGTCGAAAAGTAAGATTATTAGATTATAAGCCGAAAAGTAAGATTTTGCTGCACATATTCAACCAAAATTGAAAATCCACATATAAGCTGAATTTAAAAATAGCCTTATAAGTATATATAAATATATTTTCCATTCGAAAAATAAGAGTGACATCACTGTAAAATGAACAGATATATTTGCCGCTAATAATCTCGTCTTTTCATCAAAGAGTGATTTCCGAGAACTGCTAGAAAATTCCAAATCGAATAATTATTTAAAAATTTTGACTAATACATTATAAGACATTTATCCCGTCTTCTTAGCGTGCCTTTGTAGTTTAGCGGTCAGCACACCGGGCGCGTATTTCAGAGGTCCGTCGTTCGATTCCCGGAGAAAGCGTTGCTCATTTTTCATCACTCCTGCTTCCAAAATATCTAATGTCTCTACAGAACTAAGAGGGTGATGGATGCTGATTCTCCACACCCAGGATTTGGCGATTGGGTCGATTAAACCCCCTTCGCCCTTTAAATAGGAGAGTATATAAGGTATTTCTCCCGACTTCTTGGCATGCCTTCGTAGTGCTGTGGTCAGCACGCTGGGTGCGTATTCCAGAGGTCCGTGGTTGGATTCTCGGCCAGGGCGTTGCTCATTTTTCACATCTCCTGCTTCTCAAATATATACCTAATGTCTCTACAACATATTAGGATTAAATGAAATAAGTAATTTTTTTCGACTATTTAAATTATAATATTATTTTGGGGCTCAAATTATTTGTAAATCGATTTTAACTCGCATCTAATCCTATCATCAAACTTTAGATCATCAAACTACAGAGTTTACTAAATGTTCTCGGATTATATACCGAAATATACGGTTAGGTAAGATAATCATTTGGTTTGCTTGGAAGAGGAAACATGAAAAATGAGCAATGTCCGAACTCCGGACTTCGACTGGAACTTCAGACCTCCTGAGCCAGCCGGAGGGTCTACCAATTACAGCATGAAGGCATATGGTGAAGAGTTAAAAAATACCTTACATTCGCCCACACTTACAGAGCGACTGGGACCTAATCACCAAACCGTAATGTTGATGAATTATCGTCCACAATTTTGTGTCCTTCAGAGCGCCACTTGTAAAGTCATTAGGTTTATTGGGAGTTGGAAGCATGAAAATTAAGCAATGTCCTTGCCAAAATTAGACCTTCGGACCTCTCAACCTCTAGCTGGACGTGATTTTAATTGCATCGCGGAAACACGTAAAGAGTAAGAAAATGTAGGTTAGGTTATTTGACAATGGTAAGGTATACGAGGACTATCTCACTAAGAAAAGGGACGCCTTCGTAGAGAACTTTCTAAAGGTAACTAACTGAGTCGTATTCGTGTTATTCGTAGGGATGACCACGAAAAGCAACCATGCAGCCGGCATGTACAAACCTAGGAAGTACTCTCAGTATTCAGCAGTTTTTAACCACATGCCCGCAGGTGGAGCACCGGAAATACACAGTATACCCAAAAAAGACGAAAACCCTAAAAAAATTTTAATTTTTCCACTTTTGCCGACTTTTATTTGTTTACCACTTTTCTATTTTCTTGGTTTCCCACAATTTTTGTGTAAATACCTCTCTTTCATCATTTTACTCCCTCTTGATTAAGGAAGCCTGAGGCTTTCGAAAATTCGAGACCTGATATTCCCTGACCATTGCAATTCATATTTATGTACATTTCAATACTTTATCTCTGATCAATTGAATTGTCTTTGTTTAAATTCGAGGTATCCATTAGTTTTCTTAATTTAGTTAATGACTGTATATTACAGAACTATAGTTTAACGGCAGATTTATAATTAGCTTTTAAAAATATTTATATAACTTCAGTAACTTACGTTCGAATATTTGAAAGTAATAAATAGCTGGTAAAAGGCATATAATGGTGCCATAATATGCAGAACTACAGATGAGGTTCTAGAGCAATTCAGATGCTTTTTTTCATCATCGACGAAGTTCAAAATGTGCTGTCCTAATTGCAGGCCTTGATAAATTAGATATCCGAAGCAAAATGCTGAAAATAGCAATAAAATCATCTTAAATCTACATTAAAAAGAAAAAAATACATATAAAACACTCTCTGAAATTTACATACTAATCTTGTAAGTTTATAAATACATACACACCATATTTTGAGGCTCACATGTCTGTTAAAAATTCATAGCAGTTGATATTTTCACTCCCCTAAAATGCTTTTTGAAAAGCTTTACTTATTGCTATAATCTGAAAAATAATGCTTCTAATAATATTGGTAATTCTTTTGCACATTCTGCATTTCGTTGCAAAATTTTGTAAATTAAGAGAAACTTGAACGCAAAGATTTGGTTAATATCGTAGATATGTATTTTCAAATTTATTAAAATTAACTAATAATTTTTTATCGGAAAATCAAGAACAAAATATAAATATTTAAAAACGGAAGCAAGTAGAAATTATTGCTCTGTATAGTTGTAAGAATAGCTAAGTATAGCTGTAAATAGAATTTTAAATATACTAGTTAGCTGTTAGGGATATTAAAGAAATAAGAATCAGAGTAAGTTGCATAAATTTGCAAGGTTAGCTTCAAAGGTTTGAATAGAATCTTCTTCATTAACTGGAGGAGTGAAAATGACAAAGGAGAATCCTGCGCTCATGCGATAACAACAGACCAGGAAATTCGAGAAAGTTCGAATTAAGGAAAAAAAAAAAAAAAAAAAAAAAAAAAAAAAAAGCTACTGGTACCACTGACGAACACAACTATGAAATAAGTGAACACAACTATGAAATAATTTCTTTCAAAGCTGAAGATAAAGGCGGCTTAAGATTGGGATCATTAACTATAACTGAAAAATTTTTATGAATATGAAACATCCCTAAAATATTTAATTCACAAAAGTGAATTGAATTAGCAGGATCAATGGAATTCATTATGGAGAGAACTTTATTGAAATCTTCTTTATTACTGTCAAATAGAGAAAAAATGATGTCAGCGTAGCGGAACAAACTGGAAAATATAATACTTCAAATAATTTGGAACCATAATGCATATAGATATCAGAAGTAACATGAATGAGGTATCTTTCACTGATTAATCCCTCAGTCTGATGATAATTCTTATTTTGAAAAATAAAATACTTTTGTTTCAGACAAAGTCGAATTAGGGACAATCAATCAATTTCGTATCAATTTCGATACATGAGAGATGAAATTTTCTAGACATTTAAGCACACCATCCACTGGAATATTGGTGAAACGTGTGAGTGGATGGTATACTTCATTGATGCCTAAGAAATATGGGTCGGGGAAATAAAAAATTGCTTACAAAATCCTTGTACTTAATTCGTTTCAGTTTGAATGCTGTATCTTTTGCGCTCTTTGTAATTCCGAATTTACATATGTCGCGTGTTAACGGAATTCTGGGGATTGCGACATACAAAGTCGTGAAAATGATAATTCACAGCCGGTGGTTGAAAGCTCTGGCTGTATTTTGTTTACCCCATGTATAAATACCAGCTTATTATTTCTAATATTTTTTACAGTTTTTTTTCCATGAAGAACTGAAAATATATCTCTTATAAAAAGAAATAAACTTAAAACTCTTAACAGCCAACTGCATAGATATAAAATTGCATTAACTGTTGCTATACATTTAATTTCAACTTGCTTTCATGTTTTGATTTTATTCTTAATTTTGCAGTTAAAAATTATTATTTTACTCAAAAAACCTGAAATGATACGGATAAAAAATACTTTTTCTTGAGTTCATAAGTCATTACATATTGCAACAGCAAATACACTATCTACCAATAAATATTTCGACACCTGTGATAGAAAAGAAAATCTTTTCATATTCATTAGTTGGTACAGCCTCAACGAATAGCAGTTACACCCACAACCTTACGGGGCATGCTTTCCACGAATCTTTGCATTACGATATCGGTATTTTTCCCCACTCGGCTTGGCGAAGACATCTAAGTTCCTTTACTGATGTTTGACGGTTGTTTCACCCCTTAATTCGGCGATCTAACTTGTCCCAGACTTTCTCGATAGGGTTCAGGTCTGGGCTGTGAGCAGGCCAGTCTATTTAATTAACCCCATTTCCACCAGACCAATCCATGGTAGACCTCGCAATATGACGGCTGGCGTTATCGTCCTGAAAGTAACAAGAGTCCAACCAGGAAAACTGCTACAATGTAGGAAGCACACTGTCATCCAAAATAGTGTAGTAGGTGTCGGCGTTGAGCTTACCATGAATTTGGACCAAGGGTCCTATTCTGTACCATGAGAAACACCCCCAGATCATAATTTCTCCTCCGCCAAGCTTTACATGTATTTTGGCGGGATGCGTTCTCCAGGCAGACGCCAGACCCAGACCTTGCCATCTGAAAGGTAGAGGGTAAACCTTGGTTCGTCTCTCCAGAGAACCCGTTTCCACTGATCTATGGTATACTGTAGACGTGTTTTGCACCACATTAATCCAGCAGAGCGGTTGGACTTTGTGATCAAAGGCAGTACAACCATAAAAACCAAGCAGATGTGCTTCCTTACGGATGGTATTCGTAGAAAAAACACTCCCGGATAGTAGATGGTTTCTGCCAGGAAAATATCACACTGTGAGGCTAAGGCCAGGTCAGTGGTCTTCCTTGGTGGCGCTCACTCACTCACTCCCGGATACCTGTTAAAATTCTTGAAGTATGTGTCCCATCGGCTTCCGAATTTCGCTGGAAAGCATCTGTCGGTTCCCGTCTCCTAGTTTGGTTGTTATGCCGACTTGGGGGTAGATTCCGACAATCACCGCTCGCCTTCCACTCCTGAATAACATAAGCCGATGTCAATTTCAACTTATTCAAGCCGCTAGATATGCCCCTTAAAAGTTGGCCATTTCTGGGATACTCGACGATTACACATTTCTCGAAATTAGATAACTCTCCAGTTCGTGGCATCTTGCATGCGACTAATGCCAATGTTGTTTCCCACATGGTATTTAAAGGCGGAGGTCGTGACGTATATCAGGAACAGATATCGGCATTGGCAAATGTCACACTCTCCAAATACTTATTGGTAGACAGTGTGTATATTTAAAACTTTTAAAATGGTGTGAGATATCAAAGTTTTGAGATCAGAGATCTCTTAGAAATAAAATTAAATAGTTCTTTTACGAGTACAAATAGCTTTTTAAACTTTGATTCCCCTTTCAACTCTAAGAAAATGGGGATTTAGTTCAGATATCTATGATTATTATGTTATGTTAAAGCAATTGTTATGTTAAAACCATAAAATCAATTGATACGCATAATTAAGTTATTTATTCAAGCAGACATACGTGCATAGTATTTTATCTGCTGTAATATGACTAGAATTGTTTTTAGCAAAGCTAAATTATGATGCTATTTGACTCTCAAATTAAGTTTAAATTTAAAAAATGGAATAGTTCTCACAATATTTTCCTTTTTTTTTTGAAAGTACAGCTTTCAAGTTACAAAGTCAGCCACTTAATGGATAAGTACCTTTGTTCAAGTACACCCATTAAATTCGCAGTCTTGAATACCAATAGCCTCCAAAACAGGCTCTTAGAGCTTTCATAATTTCTTTATTGAACATGATATTAATATAGGAATTGTTTCCGAAATGCATGCGTTCAAGCACAATATCTCCTGATAATGACTCGGCAGAAGCAAGATTTAAAAACATTCTGTGGAAAATTACATACTTTTTAAAGCTAGCGAATGAATAAATAAGCATATATAAAATTAGGCATAAAGAACTTTATAGAAACCACAGAACTTTATAAAAAAGTTCTGTGGATTTCTAGGGAACGAAATATAAGGAACAAAACTATTCTGCCAGCCGAAAAAATTTTGCTCCTCAAACGAAAGCAAGGAAAATTTCTGTATGAATTAAATACTTTCCTAATAACGTCAATATACGTATGTGTAATTCTTTAATTAAGAAGAGTATGTTATTGTGAATTTACCTGCGGAACCAATCTTCAAATAAAAACTTCCACTATGTCTACCCATTAAAAACCTGTAAGGAGGAGGTGTGAACTTCTTTTCATCTGAAGCATTTTGTGACGAGAAGTCGTATGTGTTGAAAATAAATTCTGTTGCTGTGCTAAACCTGTCACTTGCTTCTTGCATTGCATCCTCTCGTTCTTTCAATTGCTTCAAAACTTCTCTTTTGTATAAGCAAAGATCCACGTGAAAAATAAGCAACCATAGTATTCCCATGCCAGATATCGTGATGCTAAAAGCCTAAGTAGAAAAATAATCTGTACTTAATATTAAAAAATTGACAGCAGAAATTTCATACTTAATAACTTCTGCTCAATTCATTTATCTTACAGAAAGGCAGCACGTTTAAGAAACTAAATGTATTATAGAGTTTATACAACATTCTGTGTCTCTAAATGAAGAATGGCTTCACATGAAATCGTCTCTTTGGCCTTCATTGGGACCCTTACCTTTAAGAACCAGTCATTATGAAAAGAGCTGAGAGTTATAGCAGAGTCATATGAATTAAAATTTTTATTATTTCCTATCTTTCTGTAAGAATCTATCACCATCTGCAATTAAATATTTGTTGTTGATCTAGAGAAAAAGATGAGTATTTGGTGCCTAAGCCAGATCATTGTTATTTCTGAATGATTTTCTGATCACGAAGTTTTAACTTAAAATAAACACATTAATTAAAAATCACTCGGTCCCCAAGAACCCGTAATAATACATTGTAATACATTGGGGGTACACTCAGACCCTCCTGCCACGAAGTGGCCTCATGGTCAAAAACTCGGTCCTTGCAAATCAAACCCAAGACTGTGCTGATTCAAGAAGGTGCTGCGTGAGCTTACGAATCCTGGTGTTGTACTAGGTCGAGAAGTTTTCCAAGCCAGATATATAGTAGCTTGTAGAACAGAAGGAAGAGGTCGGAAAAGGAGGCCTTCCCTTGATTTGATGGTGGACAAACAGTGAAGAGGCGCAGAGCCGGGATGTAAATATCCCCATCTCTCGATCCTAGCCAACGGTTTGGCTTCGAATGAACCCCCTTCTCTCCTTCGCAAGTCGAGTTGAAAGAATTATTCACGTGTCAGGGGGTCGGAAGATGAACACTGCCTGAGAAATCCCTCCCAACCCTTGGAAATCTTTTCTAACGACTTTAGTACGAATCCGGCTGCTCTCCGATGCTTCAAAGGAAATCCGAGGAATATGTTCAATTTTTATAAATATTTTCACGATTGTTCCTCACAATGCTAAAAGAAAATATTTTCAGATCTGTTCTTTTAATTTTAATTAACTATAAAATTTTGTTAATGTACTCCAATAATTAGAATTCAACAAAAGTAAATTACTGTGGGCAAAAATTGTCTTTGAGGCGAAATTCCGCTGGTCTCACAACTTGGTTATAAATCTCGAAATATTTAAACACTCTATTATCAAAAGTTAATTTAAGGATTGGATTAGAGCATTTTCTTTTACCAATTTCTTTTATCAATTTTCTTTTCTTAATTTAAAGATATCATCAAAACTCTTTTTTAAAAACAAATTAAAGCACTTACATGAGAAAAGGTTTAACAGTTAAGCAGACTAGAAGAAAGGCAAATAATACATTCATGTCCAATAAAGTAAGGATAATTCGGAGTCACACGGAAATCGAACTCTAAAATAAATATATCACCTGTAAAATCACTATACACATCTTCAAGAATCATATGCAAATTTCAGATGACACATTTCAGATGATTTAAAGTAACCAGATGACACCGATGGTAAGTCACAATGACGAGAGTGTAAGAGAGTAATATATAAGGAATACAGGCAAAGAAGTAAAATTGTTCGCAGGCGCTTTATAAGCATTTCAGTGCAATAACCGAATAGTTATGACACAAAGGACGCATTTGGATGATTTTTTACGTGGTAGAATTATCGGCCGTCTGGAATGTGGGCGTACCCAACTGGAAGTATCAGCCGAACTTGGAATTGCCCAGAGTGTCATCTCCAGGCTTTGGTGACGATTCCAAGATGAGGTAATGTGAGTAGACGTTACAGCACAGGTCGCCCCAGAGTTAAACCGCCGAATAAGGACCGGTATTAGGCAGTTACTGCCAAAAGCAACAGGCGGAGCACAGCCTCAGACCTGTCTCGTCAGCTCTCTTCAGCCACTGGTACGACAATTTCAAGGCAGACCATGTACAGACGCTTAGGCAGATTGGTCTATATGCTCGTAGAACTGTCAGATGCGTTCCACGTACTGCAACTCACTGTCGCCTGCGGTTAGCCTGGAGTAGAGAACATGTATTGTGGACACCGCAACAGTGGGCTTGTGTGATGTTTATCGACGAGTCCAGGTTTAGCTTGCAGTCTGATTCTCGCCGGATTTTCATATGGAGAGCTCCAGGTACCCGTTACTACCAAGAAAACATCATTGAACGACACCGTTACGGTGGTGTAGGAGTGCTCGTTTGGGGTGGAATTATTCTGGGTTCCAGAACTGACCTGCATGTTCAAATTGGAACCATGACAAGCCAAATCTATCGGTACGTCATTCTGGAACAACATGTACGTTTGTTTCGGGCGCCATGGGCGCACAATTTGTGTTTATGGATGGCAACGCCCGTCCTCACCGTGAAAACATCGTAAGCGAATGCCTTCAATCAGAGAATATCACCCGTATGCACTGGCCAGCATTCTCACCGGACTTGAATCCAGTAGAGCACGTGTGGGGCATGCTTGGCCGACGAGTTGCAGCCCGTCAATGTCCTCCTACATGTCTACCGGAATTTCGGAGAGCATTGCTTTTTGAGTGGTGTAATATCCCCCCAAGATCAGATCGATAATTTCATACTCAGCATACCTAGGCGTTGTACGGACTGTATTGCACCGTCTGGAAGACATACAATGTATTAACAATCATACCAACCATGTAATATTGGTTTTTTGTAAATAGGTGTTTTTTGTACTTTGCTCCAGGGAGAAAAAATCGCTAATTTTTTTAATAATATCAAACATATAGTACCTTTTTTTGCTCTTTACCTTTTGTTTAATAAATAATCTTTACAAATAAGTCAAATTTGTTTTGCTACTAACTCTTCCTTTGTCTGATTTTGCATTATCCTTAATTTATGGACATGAGTGTATTTTCGATATGAGTAACCGTAGTTTTGACCATAAATCATAAATAATGTGAAAAACAACATTATAACCTCGAGAAAACAAGCAAGTAGTTTTTAGGTATTCATTTCTACTTCTTATCTCCAAGTAAGCAAAACATTGATAACGACTCTTCAAATGATGACAACTTCTTTCTTGGGGTAATTTTACATTGTTTATCAGCATGTAGTAACACAAAACATTTCTGTCAACACTCACTACTGCTTTTAAGTTCTGCTAAGTTCAAGAAATATGTTATGAGAAAAACGAAATGATTTCCGTCATTCATGATGGGATCAGATCTGGAGCTACTTTGGAATTCTTACCGAAAAGATTATTTCCTTTGTTTCTTATCCTTCACAGTCCTATGATAAGGCAGCCTAGAAGTTTTTTTTTATCTCTTAGGCTAAAAGTATTACTTGGAGAACATAATTTTGATAATTCTTCAAAGTAAAGTCAACTGAATCTGCATGATCTATGTCAACAGGGTTTCTCCTAGGTTTTCCATGACGAAAACATTCATAAAGATGGTACTGGAATACTTCGAAAAGAACTGCTAGGCAGAAAACATAATAATTTATAAATATAAATCTAGCTTCAGTCTTTTTTATTCTTATTTGTCTATTTCACGTGTACAATGCTAATATAAGGATAATTTGGAAAGATGGACATAATTTTGAATTACACTTTAGTGCTTTATTGTAAATAAATCTTCTTAATTTTTATATCAATATATTTGAAAAGTATCCAAATTTTAAGTGTAGAGATGGACGAGGTAAGTTTGACACGCCCAAAAGTTTTGTTCAGATACTAATTATGCAGTAATAATTATACAGTAATAAGGTTTGAACTTCTAAGCTTATTTTGTAGTATAAATTGTTAAGCTGATTCAAATACCTTTTTGTAGCAAAATTGTTTTAAATAGATCATCTATAAAACAACACACGATTTTGTAATAAAGCATCGTAAAATTACAATAATATAGTTGTTAATCGCGATGCAATTATGTCATGTCTTAACAGGAAAGTTCTTAAATTGAGTATGAACTACACCTTTTCTAGTTGTGTATGGTTTGCAACGTAACCATCATAATTTTTTTTTGTTAGAGTATTAAAACAAGACGCATTTTCAAAAAAACGCACCAGCAATTCAGAAACATTTGTTATGATCCAAAATCATTTGTACACTGTGTGTCCAAGAAATACTGCGACAATATTACATGACGTATTTGGGAGATTAGAAGGAATAAAACGCCACTTCAGAGCATATAGTAAAAGATATTTAAGAGTTTACGAAAAATATTTATAGAAGAAGTAGCTTATCCTACATTTATGTCCACATATTTTAATTTAGTTTTCTTACCTCTGAAAGAATTCTGTGCTCCCTGTGCTGATCATTAATGTATATAATGGCACCAAGCATAGCCAAGAAGACTGCATAAATACCACTCATTAGTATAGATAATCCAGGCCTGAGAAAGAAAGGTATAAATATTTTATCTGAAAATATAAATTTAGGAATGTATTTATATGCGTATGGTTGGTTCATTCGCTGTATTCCATTTTCTCAAATAAAATTCTGATAAAGTTAAGAACTCCGAAAAAATGCAATTAATAATTTTTTCAGGTATCATCAAGAAGAAATTTTTTAAATATCATTCTTTAAATCGCGGAAATCTTTAAGACTGAGAAATGAACAAAAATTTTATGTAAATTAATTTTTTAAAGCTTGGTTAAATTTTGTTATTGATTCCAATTCCGGTTTTGGATAGCTGCTGGAAAGTTGTCTTAATGACAACTGAAGAATTGGAGAAAGAACTGAACATACATCGCATGAATAAGCACTTTTTTTTTCCTTTTTTTTTTTTTTTCTTGATATAAACACTCCTCGAAAGTATGATCTTTTTAATTTTTGATCGAATTGTCTCATGTTGGACATGGCTTAATCTTGTATATGTCAGGTGACAAAATTTCACACAATAAGAGCCGTATATTAGAAATCTAGAAAGCACAATAACCACAACTTGAACTTTATCTTTTAAAAATGTAAAAAATGTGTGAGTAGCAAAAAATTATTTAAAATAAATAATCAAGGACTTTTTACTTTTTAAAATTAAGATAAGTATTTTCACAAGCGAATAAATTACATTGCCCTTTCTCTGCATTCAGAAAATACTATGTTTTTCTAAATGCATACATGAATGTATTTTACTGAATGCAGTCATTTTTTTTCATTTTGTTATACATTATCTTTTTAGAAAAAGGGCAACGTATTTTCTTTTGTCTACACATTAATAAAAGAAATCCACTTAACATTAATAAAAGAAAATGGTAGTAGCAATCAAGAAATGCATTTTATTCAGAAAAAATATTTTCTGTGTGCAGACACGCAGCAACGCGTTTAATGTACTCTCAATGAAGAAATGCTATGGTGGTAGGAACTGAAATCGTGAGAGCCTAAGTAATGCAAACGACATGAAGCACACCATGCCTGTTATATAAACCATTTGCACTCAAGCAGTGGTCAAATTAGAGAAACATGTGAAAGACTGAACAGCCATATTTAAGGAATATTCAAGATGAGGAAGGGACGGGATCATATCTCACTGCGTTGTTTTATCTGAGTGCTTCCAGCTTTTATGCATGGTTCAACTCCATGTTGAAGGAGTATGAGCCTTAAATGATTGATGTGTGATGGTTATTTTGTTAAGACAATCGTCTAACTTGCAGAAGTACACATCATTTGCGGTTGTTTAGTCCACGGAAAAAATCGTTATGCATCAGAGTTTTGCTATCCAGATTACACAGAGATCCTATTACATGGATATGAAAGTCTTCAGTGGTTGCAAGTCGGGTACGGACATTCATTTGGGTGGTTATTCTTTACTGACTCTAGCTAGTGTGTTGTTAGCTCTCTGCTGCTCTAAAATATCCATTCTTTTATCATGCACAAGGATCCAATGGACAAAGGGAATCAAGTTTTTGATTCATCATGTATGTTTCCAAATGCTCTACTTTGCTGTTCGGTGAGTTTATAAAGAATCTAGGTTCCTAGCCTTTTAGCCATGCTCATAGCTAGTAAGTTTCGGAAAATTGACAGTTCAAGGTTCGAAGCCCTTCTTTATAAGAAAATCACGTTTACAAGAGACCAAAATTGCATTAAGGTGTGGGTGGTTATTTTAGAACGGGATAACTGCATATCTTTACCTCGGCTTAGCTGTAATGCCGGCTTAGCTGTAGTTTTTACCTATTTTAAAAATAGTACCGTCATAGTAGTAAATCGGAAGAATGTAATCGTGACCTTTGGTTTATTATTTTGACGAATTATAAACAAAAGGTAAAAATGGCATGGTGCATAAGATAAAAAGCATGGAGCATAGATTTAAACTGTTAGAAACATTGCACGTCTGATACAATTTAAAAATTTATATTACAGATTGTTAAACACAATGTCGTGGCAAGATTTTTGTTTCAAATTACAATTGTGTTTCGAAAGTAAATCTATGGTTCATTGAAACACGATCCCGATTTGACAAATCAAAGCCATAATTTAGCAATGTCTGGTATATGCCCCGCCGGGTATTCCAAAGCCAGACGGAAGACAGAAAGACAGGTGCTTGTATGACACGTGAAAGAGAGTGATAAAATTTGAACTTAGTGTTCCTCCCATGTAACAGATATATTATCAAATATAGCAAAATATCTGCTGTAAATAATTTTGCGTCAAAACAGTGCTTTATTTAACTGATTTGCATTCAATGACAAACATACGTTTTAGTACATTTCTGGATATCCATATAGTAACTAGATAATGCCGTACAGCTTTCTAATTGATTATTTTTTCTATGTTCGCTTTATTGCAACCACTTCTATCTGCTGTGGAGTGTTTCAGTCACTTAATTCTATGTGGACTATTGTGGACTATTCTTTGTATCCTATATGTCACATTAAAGTTTAAAAACCTTATTGGGTCTAAAAATTAAAATTCATGCATTACACATGCATTCACATTGTTGCTTCAAGCAACCAAACTAGCAGTTTATCAATGTGGGTGTCTTATGTATTAAATGTTTATGTACATTTATATGCATGTTTATATTTTCTTAATTTTATACCTTAATTAAGTACCTTTTACACGTTTTTTTTTTCACTTTCTTAATTTTATACTTTCATTAGATGGCGTCTTGTGTTCTTTACTTTGAACTTGAAATCATTTTCTCCTTTTTGAGTGCTGCTGAAGGAGATATTAGTTACCACTTTTAAAACACGTTTAGGTGTTTTATATTGAAATATAAATAAATTTAAAGTAGTTTACTTAATTCATTTTGATTTAGTAGGTGTTCTATAATTATATTTTCTAGGTTTTTATTAGTTAAATACTTTTATCAGGAGTTAGTTAAATATTTTTACCAGGATTAAGAAAAATAAAATCTACTTCTTTTCATATCTTGTAGTTAATCACTTTCTTTCCCCTTTACAATAGCATATTTTTCATTTTAATAATATGTATAAACTTATGAATATATATTTAATTCTAAAAATTCTTTTTGGAAAATTTTATGGTTAAAATGGAAAGTGTTGCTCTAAAGAGAGAAAATGGGAGTTTTTTGAGTTTCTATGAAGACACTTTGATTTTGAAGTTAAATGTACTTTCAGTCACACTTTCTTTTATACAATCTATACATATCATTCTCAAATAACTTTTGCCTTTAATGAAAGATATTAAAATATTAGTCTGTTTCCAGTAAATTTTATGAAAACAATTAACAATCAAATAAGCCCAGATTTAAATAATAATTGTTACCACGATAACAAATTAAATTCAGCAAATCTTTCGTAAAACACATTAAATGAAATTACAAGTCAATATAGGAAGCAAGGTCTAATTTGGCTTAATTTAAGCAAAAGATTTATTTCTTTTCCTTTAATCTTTTCAGCATTTAATAAGTTATATCCTGGTAAAGTTTTACTGTAGAAAATGCAATTATCCTTAGATATAAAAACTGGTTCTTGGAATAAAGTTCAGTTATGTACTCGTGAATACATTTGAATTAAGAATGTTTGCAGAATCATTCTCAATTATTAAAAGTTTTTACCTTTCTTTGTGCCTGCTTCCTACATCTGTTCCTACAGGCACATTGACCGCAGAAATACTGTCTCCATAGAAATCTCCGTTAATACTGAAACCTGATCCTCCCGTATTCTTCCGAACCCTTGGGCTCATGGACCCTGCATTGAAATCATTGAGTCCTCTCGCTGACAACGCCCGTCTTAAAGGTCTTGGGCTGAGGTTCACAAAAGGCCCAGAAGGTGGAATTACCAATAAATTTTTAAATCTGATGTCTTTGTTGAAGGAGCTTGGCCCTATAGGAAATCAAAAATAAAATAAACTAACAATGAACGAGTGATAAATTTCCTGGTTGTCATTAGTAATTAAAGTGCAAATATAGGAAAGAAAGAAAGGATTGTAATTAATGCACTAACGCAGACAAACCTTGTTTATATTCGATTTCATGTTTGGTTGCTGAATTATAATCAAAGATTTTCGGAATCAGAGAATTTAGTATAATTATATGTCAAGCCTGTTTAAAAAGTATTACATGAATATTGTGATACAACATATAATGAGATGTCATTTTAGTATTATCAAAATACATTAGATAATGCCCAATAAGTGCCAAATGATATATATTGTACATTGGAAAAGTATGGAGATAAAGTCGTGACATTTGACACTTACAAACATCTAGGCTTTCTCTGGGATTCGAACCCAGGCTCCATGCTACGGTAGCCAGCAACGCTAACCACTATCCACTATCCACTATATTGATCAGAACACTCATAGCAGGTGCAGCCGTAGTTCAGCTGAGTAGCTAAAGAATAGCTTTAGATATTATAAAGTTATCGATTGATTTAAACTATAATAAGTTTCATTTTCTACCGCTGGCTATATGAGAGGTAAATATTTGTTATTCGTGAAATGAGAAATATTCATCCTTATCAATACTGCTTAACTCAGGGGTTCCAACCCTATGTCCGCGGGCACCATGGCGGCTGCCGATCGTTTAAAGTGTGCCCGCCGCTGTGCGATCACAATAAAAATGTTTTAGTTTTCAATAAAATTCTATAAAGTATTTCTCCCGCCTTCTTAGCATGGCTTCGTGATGCCAGCACACTCCGTGTCCGAAAGGTCCGTGTTCGAGTCCCTGCGAGGACATTGCTCATTTTTCAGATCTTCTGCTTTCAGAAAATAACCTAATATCTCTACAATTCTATGTGCAAGTTTTCTCATTTTTTGATGAAATAGAAATTGCATCCAACACGTGACCGATGTTACCGATGATGATCTGTGACCGGTTTCTGTGAACAATGTGACCAATGTCATTTTTTACGTGCATGTATTATTAACTCTATTCAAGTGTAAATTCACCTTGGAAAAGTAAATTTTGTCCGCCGTCCAACGGATATTCTAGAACGGATTCTCATAGAGACAAAAAAGTTGGGGACCTCTGGTCTAAATAAAATTGCTAAGTAATTAACTAAGTACATTTCGTTTTTAAGCAAAAGATTTCCTAATATTTTCATCTAATGTGCAATGTTTTTTTGTGTAACAAAACAATATATTTAACTTGCGAAAAATTCTGTAGTTTTTTCTACAATTGGTAGTTATTAATGATCTCAATGAAACAGTTTTATTTTTTCATTCCGTTTTATGTTAGACAGTTATTATATTAAAATATATTATCAACAGAGAAAGTATTTTAAGACTCAGTATCATTGAAAAATATAGCTGTTTGAATTATGTAGGTTAGGTCATCACATAAAACAAGTTAAAGGCAATCAACTGTACTCTTCTTCACGAGAGGAAATGCAAACTTCGCTTTCAATCGAAAACCAGTATAAATATTGCCGTAAATTAGGAGTATCAAAGAGAGAGAATAAACCGGTGCGTTCATACCAGATCTTGCCATGGAATTAGGAATTTTAGTTCACAAGTTAAAAGAATCTCGCGTTCAATTCATTCCATAAGAAACCGAGCTCCACAAGTGGGCGAGTGGTTAAGAACTGCTGAGTACTAATAGTTTATCTTAGATTATATACCAGACGAACGGACTGGCGGCATAGCTGGTTTTCGTGCCTTTCTTCATGTGTAACATGAATACAAACCAGTTTCTCTTAGAAAGTCATCCACAAAGGCATTCTTCTTCTTAGGCAGATAGCTCTCTTGTGCTTTGCTGTATTAAAATAACCTAACCTAATTAAAATTATAAACGCAAAGTTCAGTACTGTGTTTATTTTTATACTGAACCGCTCATTTACTGAGATGCTATGATTAATGCTCTGTTTTTGCCTCTTCAGCATCTTTTGCTCATCTTTTGGCTCTGTGCCAACGCAAGCTTTAGAATTTAGTAAACTGCAATGATCGCTGTATCTCGGGCTCTTCTGCTTTCCTAATACAACTTTTTATTGCAACCCATTGCGTATGGATTTAGTGCTATAGGTTATCGATTTAGTGCCCAGAAATCTTTCGAACTCTGTATAATAATATAAATCAGCAATATGGCTTAAAACTCAAGATCAGTTAAGTAGTTTTCTCTACTTTCATTTCCTCGTTTTCTATAACGTTTAAGCAGTAATGGTGGCTACATATCTGAATCGGATGTTCATGGAAAAGCTGAATGAACAAAATTATTATACATGGAAATTAAAGTTCGAACTTTTGCTGATTAAAGTGGATTCACCGAACATTATTTCTATAGAATCTCCATCTCAAGTAATAGCAAAAGTGATTATGAAAGACGGAAAAACTAGAGCAACTGTACGACTTTTATTTGAAGATAACCAGTTAGGTCATATCTTATGTGCACGACTGCGAGAAAGACATTGAATAAGCTTAAAATATACCATGAAAAGGAACAGTATCCCATAAAGTTGGACTTTGAAAAAGCTGCGAAATTTCCAGTAGAGCAGTAAAGAACAAATGAGGGATCATCGAATGAAAATAGGAGTTATTTTTTATCATTTATTAGCGCTTGGTCAGAGATTTTTAGGACTTTTACTGGTTGCATTTATTTGAATAACTTACCTGAAAATTATGCTGTGTTAATAATAAGTTTAGAAACTAAGTCAGAAGGAATTTGACTGTAGAATTAGTTAAGAATAAATTGCTGGAAGAGTACACTCGTCAAAACGAAAGTAGCGAGAATAAAGCTTTAAAATCGCATTTTTGCATGTTTAACGTTTCAAATGACAAAAATAAAAGCTTTAAGATCGCATTCGTGTATGTTTAACATTTCAAGTCACAAAAATAAAGTACCTATTTACTTCCTTTGCAAGAAATTAGGATGCGAAAGTGCTGATTGTAGGAAGCATACTAAATAGAATTTTAAGCATAATCAAAGGCAATAAGTCAGTGCAGCTATGAATTCAACTCACATTAATGTAACGGGCAAGTTTCTAATTATCATCGTTTTACAAGGCTGAATTTTTTATATGGTTGTTAGTATATCGATTCTGGAGCCATCATTCGCATGTATGCCTGTTCATTAATTTTGATAGCATCTCCACTCCTGAGCGAATAAATTTAACTAATGAAAAAACAGCCTTTAGTCAGGAAAAAGAAAATTGCTTGGCAAAATATTAAAATTGTCAAAACGAAGAAAAACAGATTGCAATCAAAGATGTGCTTTTTGTCTCACAACTATCTGGAACTCTATAATCCGTAAAGAAGATAAGGGGATAATGGAAATGATTTGAAGTTTAAAGGCGCTAAATGCCGTATTGTTGAGAAAGATAAAATTTTAGGAAATACCAGAACGACTGAGGTCTAATCGAAGAGGGGATGTGTGAGCAAAGGTTTTGAAAAATGGTATAGTATACCAGAAAACTGTTAATTATTCTCCTCAAGAAAAGAGAGTCGCCAAGAAGAAAAATCTTACATTAAAAATTGAGCAATGCTTAAAGACTCTTATCTTGCAGACGAGTATCGGGGAACGTGTTACAACAGCTACAACAGCAAAACAGCAAACTATTTGGAAAATAGATTTCTTTCGAAAGAATTTAAAGTTTTTCATTACAAGAAATGGCGCAAAAGAAACCATCATTGCAAATATACATGCATTTAGTAGTTGGCCCATGTGCATGGTTCTGTGACGTCGTGGATGCTTCAGTGGGAACGGAATCAACACTGGTATTGGTGATGCATCACTTTAATTACATCACATACCACAGATACAACATTTAATTAATACATTTAGAAAACTTGAGTACATATCCGAGTTGGTGACACGATCAGAGACGTTAACGAAGATAGCACTCGTCATCACTGGACAAATTTATTCTCCACACCACAGCTCGCTGGCGGAGCTTCCCAAACTCTCTCTTTTTCTGACAGGCGTCTCACAAGAAGGTCTCTTCTCTTTACGTATGCGTATTCCTCAGTTAAGTCGTTGCCATTCACAGTTCTTTAAAATAGGTGTTAAAAAGGAATTATAGCCCTCGTAGTGTGATCTCTAGTCGAGACCATCATAGATCTTTCTAGTAGAGAGTTCAGGAGCGTTCTTTACAGTTCAAAAGGCAAAAACCAGACAACTCTTCTGTTAAAGGAATCGTGGTTGGATACGAAGAAGGAACGAAATCGTTTTGTTGGACACATCTGGGGATAGTACAATAATCAGTTGGGATGTTATTTATTCCAACAGATTCTCATCTAATTATGATGCTAAGATGAGGTTGGAACTCGAAGAGTACGCACAATGAAGCGTTAGAAGTGGTGTGGAAGTATTTTGTTATAATGAGGAGAAAAGGTTGTTGAAGGGGACGGAGATGGAGCTGCTGCTTTTTCGTTTCTGCCATAGATATAGCCTATATACCACCTCCGTAATTAACAAATTTTTCTACTAGGGTATTAAAGAGTAGCTTTTGTATAATGAGGATTTAAACCCCTAAAATCATATCCCCTCATTCTCCTTATGGAGTTGGCTATTTGTGAAGTTTTAGTTCCGACGTCTTGAAGATTTTCCATCCAAGTGAATTTTCCATCTATAGTATTTCCAGGAAATTTCAATTTGTTTTCGATCTTTATCCTCTTTCCACTAATTTAGAAGCAGGTTTTCTTTGTATAGCTTGAATATATGGTAGGAAATATGTGATATGGTCTTTGTATGGTTTTTGTATGCCCTGTAAAATATCATTGCTTTAATTTTCCTTTGAAATTGTTAGTTTTTGTGCGTTCCATAGTTGGCTGCAGACAGCGAGAGTGCGGTCAGTGTTAACGTTGAGTTATTCCCTTATTCTGCTAGAGATGATGATTGCGACGTCGTGTGCGAATGTCAAGGCTCTTGTATGATTTGACCATGGATATA